ACCCACTATGAGTTGTTTAAAAAGATACGCTGAAGATAGATACTAAATTGTTTTTTATTTTCATTCATTAATATTTCCCTTAAGGCCCGTTTAAAATCATCGCCACGTTTTGCTATCGCGCAACTCAATAGAAAATCGCTGCGAAATTGCAGCTAAAGTTCAGGCATGATCGCCGGGACGATCAAGATCAAGATCATTTGTTCCATGCAAGAGTGTCATGTTCTTATGCACTCCGATTCGTTGCTATAACAACATCTACATTTGGAWTTTTTGGGTTGTAAAAAATGTTTTTACTCTAAATTTTCGATGCAAGGAGAAAGTGTGTTACGGAATTTCATGATGGTTTTAGAGAAATGCTTTTATGGAATTGGGRATGAAATGACGGTACCTTCACCACACCGGAACATACGTTATACTATATAAGAATATAATTTCTGTGATATCTTAAAAAACATTATATAATTCCTGACGTGCTCGTAGGCGACAATGCGGTTAATTTATTCCCACTCATAGCAAAACCGCTCTTAATATTGGTTCTTGTTCCAGCACTTTTGAGTAAAAAAAAATCGATTCTAGTTTACAAATATACCTTCCAAGTTTCCATATAATTCTTCAGTAGGAAAAAAATGATTAGTTAATGGTATTCTAATAAGAGAGTCTACCACAGCAACTTTGTTTTCCATCCAACCGAAATCTTTTTCAAAAATAATTGGACGTTTCATGGCGTAGCGTTAGTCTAGCGTTACATGCAGAGTTTTGATTTAGACTTGGTTTATATTGTTATATTTTGATTATACAGGCAAAATATAGACTTCCATTGTTATTTTTACTGATGCATTACGATCTTGATTCCCTAAAGTTGCTTATATCTATCGCTAAAGAACATAATCTGATAATGTARTGTCGGTTTTTGATAATAAAATATGACGAAGGAATTTTATGAAATGCGCGCGCTTCCTCCGACAAGTTCGTAGTTAAATATCCTAGCATTCACAACTTCAAAGTAGACCGCTTACCATTTGTTTGTATCATAGTTACTAACYATGTTTGTATATAGTACTTCTTTGAGAACTCTTGCATCTCTGAACGCCGTGTCGAACACATGTAATTACATGTAATGAAATTGCCACTATACTATGCGTCGTTTTACTGGCCTTGGACTTCACGCCTCCCACATTGAACAAAACGAAACGCTAGACTATCGCTTCAACTCATTGTTGGCTAAAATTTCTCAGACAAACTGCAGTAGGTTACTTTAAAAAGATAATAATACACTTTTTATGCTATTGTTTTTTGTTATGATCAGAATTGTAAAGATAGTTTAGTAAACACAATACTGCTTGGACAGTAATACATTGTTAAGGCTCACCAAGGGCGCTGCTGAAGGTACCCCAGTGTCGAGCCATTATTTTGACGATCATTTTTCTTACGTTTTGAAAATTCTTCGGAGATAACTGGAGCAATAATGGCAAACAATAGCTCTGATTGATTAAATATTTTTATATATCGAATTTTTATATGAGATTTTGTTTTTATGCCTATACTCTTTGACCTGCGGCGACCGACATTCAAAAGGGAAGGACTGGAACTTTCACTTCGCGCTCAGCTCAAGAATATAGATTTGATCACCCCTCCAAACTAATGTTCTTTTAAATAAATATCTTATTATTTCTTGCACTTTTTCTTACCTAATTTGCATTTCAATTAATCTTTAAGACGCAATAAGCCAGAGGTTCATGATCATCAGGACACTGCATTCTTCTCTAATAACCGAAAGCTTGAAATTGTACATTGCTATTGTTTTGTCTTTTAAAAAAGATTAAAGAAAAAGCCTCCACCGAGCTCTGTAGTCAAATATTGCATAACATTATAAKTATTTTTTATAATTGTTTTTGAGGCAYTGTCTAAAGAAAAACTACAGGCTACACAAAACCGCTTCATAAATTATTCAGAGAACGAGCGATAAAACTTGTTTATGAAACGAAACCCTTAAAGATAGGCTGCTAGAGCCTAAACGCAAACCAAATAGCCAGACATTGATGCAATRACTTGTTTATACCATACGCTTTTGCTATCMTAATGACATTTCCATCTCTTCCCGCACGTGCCCGCGTAAAAACGTTTGCTCTTTGGAGGAAAACACGGAGCTTCCTGCTGTCCTCGCGTGCCATTGTCTCAAAATATTTCCTCATTCAGTACGGATATTTTTTCTTTTTTTTGATTCTTTAAGCGTATTTCATACATGCAACTTTATTTCACTCCTTTTATTTCCTGTAACTTCGCTACGGCACGCCTTTTTCTACGTCWATTCTCATTGATCTCCATGTTTCCGTGATTCATACCAAAAATATACATGATCCCATTTGAATCCAACTACGTCCACTGCTGGACTTCATTTCGTAACTAAATTACACGCAGTGCCGTACGGCTTTTGCTGGGTAAAGTATAAAACTCTGCAGGGAGTTGTTTTCATACTGATTTGCGACAAATAAGCACTGGGAATGASTCTGTCTGAGAATCTTGTGAATAGAACTCGGACAATACAAGACTATKTGGATATATTGATACTGAAAAATCGCGGAAAAGAAGGCAACGAAGCAAACTCAAATCATACGGCACGATCAATATTTTGTGCATGGTTTTAAAGTGCATGTAGGTGTTGCGGCCACTTGAACATTTTATGAGGTTAAGASTGTGTCAATAAGAGGACATGCAATCCAAAGCGTGCACAAATTTGKKTTTTTTTTTTAAATCAAATATTTAGTATATGAATGGACGAAAATCATTGTTTTCTTTCAACTGAGCTCGCGCGACATGTGACGGCGCTCACACGATGTGCATGTCCTCAGACTCTAACCAGCCAATCATCGTGCGAGAATTCACACCAAGTGTGGAAAATTCAATGTGGGGGAATATCTCTTTATATAATCTCAAAATGACTGTTTTCATCATCTCTGCACCTTCGTACCATGCGGTTCATATGGCCTCAATATAACCCTTTTAGTATTGATTAATTCTCATTAAAATTAACGACGCTTTGACAATTACGAACGGCCATTTTGATTTTTACTCGGGCTTCCTGTCTTAGTAACAAAAGTGTTTCACTATTATTTCTGCTCCAAATTGCTTTRCGAACCTRCTCTAATAATGATGCCTTGTAACATATACCCAGCAGGTATAGTTATTAATAAATTATTGATATTTTGCTGTATTGATTAATCTATTATTACTAATATGTATTCAATCTGTTTCCAAATACTTCCACCTAAGTTTTAAAAGCCCAATGGAACTGCTTGGTACATGTTGGTAGAGGTCTTGATCGACAACATATAATGTAGCTCATACGTTTTGAGAATTATTTTTTATTCATTTTTTTTTCATCTTTTATCGTAAAGCTTGAGCTCTTTGCCAACTATCAACCCACAGGGATACCGTCAAGAAACTGAGCAGGACTGGAACCGAGAAGCTAGAATCCTGTTTGGAATTTGCGTTGTGATTATAAAAACTATTTCCCCGCCAAATTTGAATTTAAATTGCTTATACAACCTGGATAACTCTTCAAAAGGTATGTATCCCATTGCAGTTTATCGTTTTGTCGTTAAAATAGCAAATATTTGTATTATCGAAACGTAATTTAATGTAGATTTAAAGGCTAATATCCTTCTCGTACGCGACATTGTATTTGCATCAGTAAAAACTCTACACTGCTATCATATTGGGTATAAATACCAAAAGAAGTAGTGTTATTTTATGATAGATAAAGCTTTTTGTGCTTAATAATGCAATTGACATATCACAACGAACTAGAAATTAAAATATGCAAGCATCCGCCATAATGGATTGCTCTGAGAGTCGGAAATGTCAAATCAGYCAAGACAAGACAAGACAAGACAACCTTGTTGATGGATTATGAAATAATTTCTGTATGAATGAATCGATAAATTAATCATGGATACCAAATATAGACCAATACAATGGCTGTTCAGGGAGGTGTGGGGTGGGTTAAGGTTGCTCGTAAACCCCCCAGGGTTTAAAAATATAGAGAAAGAAATATTACAAAATAAAGGGAGAAGTAAATCTATTTGGGATTAATTTTATAGAACTAAAGCAACATTCTTCTGAAAAAATTTATTTAAATATGGATGGATGAAAAATGAACAGTTGGAGAGGAAAATGAAATGAATGAATGGGAGAATGCATGAATAAATAAATTTGTAGATGTATGAATAGATGCAAGAGTAAATGAAATRATACATGGTTTTCTGTGCCATCTTGAAAAGTACCTGCATCTTTGCATTGAAACSAGACAGCTGGGTGAACTTGCTGTGATAGACACCCTTCATACAAGACATTTATTCACAGGTATCCCATGCATCAAGCTGTCATCTTCCTTTGATGCAAAGGCATCGTTATCTTGTAAGATGAAGTAGGGAACTATGAACACGACTGGRCTATTGATGTACTGACAATTAACGATTAATGAATAAAGCATTAATTAAAGGGCTACTTGGACGAAAATTGCGAAACATTAGAAAAGTCTTGGAAATCAAATAGACCTATCCATTTAGGTATAATAATCATGAAGCAACAGATTTCAAGAAAATATTGATGCAAATCCTTAATAATTTGGGCAAAAAATGTTGGAGTAGATGACGTCATCTACTCCATCCTTTTGTTTTTCCATCTTTTGAATCAAAATTTCTCTGATGTGGGATAATTCCAAGACAAATATTTTCCTGCAATTGTTTTTAATAGATATAAATGAATCATATATTTGTATTGCTTGAAGTTTTGAAATAAGGCCATTTTCATGCAAGTAGCACTTTAATAGATCAGTTGAAAAATAAAGCAGACTCTTTTCTGCTTTTCAGCTGTGAGTGATTAAAGTGATAAACAAACAGTCAAAAAAACTACATGCACAAGAAAACAATAACAGTAAAAAAACAACAACAAAACAAACCTCTAAATTATAACTAAAAGAGAAACATCACAAACCAAAATCAATAAGAATTATATTTTAATCTTTGCAATAAGACCATCTCCATTGCCTCCATGCTTAGCAATTTTACAAACTTTGTTTTGTTTTTTTGACATGAATTATATAATTTACATAGAACAATAAATAACAGTTGATTACAAATGTATGATCAGGAACTTGCTCAACTATGAAGAAGTCCTCACTGCATAACTTTGAGGGATGAAAACTTTGGCATTAGGATTCAGCTTACTGGTGCCCTGAATAATAAAAMGAATTGTGAATTAAACCCCTGGTACTTTTGTCCGTTGACATAAATTATTCTATGTTTAATCATTAATATTTAGGCCATTATCTGGCAGGGGGTAGCTGTATATTTTGAAACAATTGTGATTGTCGAAGACTTTAATATTTTTTGCTGAAAAACAGCCTAGAATACGCTTGAGGTAGATTTGTGAATAAAATGACGATGGAAAGAAACAAATTTGGTGAAAAACTGATAAAATTCAATAAATCTTTTTTTATGAATTGTCGAACCAAGGCAGGTTAATTCATTGTTGCGGGGTTGGGAATTTGCATAAATTTTACATGCTACAAACCGTTTGAAAGCATTGAAATTCAATTTCTATAACTTAATTTGATGCATATTTTTCGCTAAAATTATAATCGAAAATCGTGATTTTTTTTAACATGATAATGGAAAGGTTATTTTTTTGTTTTCTATTACCAGGAGGAAAAACCGATCTCAATAATGAACACTCATTAACATCCGAAAAATCTGTTTTGTTTTTGCAATGATTTCAAGCTTTTGAAATATTAATTTCTAAAATAAATTCATTTTGCTATAAAAATGCCAAATTCTTGCTAAATATGTTGGAAAAAATCAACATCAACWGTTCAATGGCATTGCTTTTGACAAGCAATGAAATATACAGTACCAAAACAATCGAAGCGCACATTATGCCTTACCAAATTGCTCTTGAAATTCCCGCTTAAGACAGTGGCGTAGCTGTTGGTTTTGCCGTGGTGGCTATCTCTAGGAGGTTTCTGGCCGATAACCTGATAGTTAGGGCTGTTAAAATGGTGGTTTTTAGCTTTTTGACTATAAACTTCGTCGGTTGACGTCTCTCGCTCATCATCTTCGTCCAACAACTGCTCAATGCACATTCGAATCAATTCTTTCTCGAACAGATGATCATTTGCGTCGTGTTCAAAGTTTTCCATGATTTCTAYCTTCTGTTAGGAGAACACTTTCTTATGTCGAAAAAAAAACCCCGAGTCCGTGCCAAAACAAAGCAAACGATTGTCCTCGAAGATTCCGCGCTCCGCTCTTGTGTGCAAAAATCGACAATATCCCCCAAGGCTAGCCAATCACAGAGCAGGAATTTGACAGCTCAATAACATAACATTCGAATGCGTTCGTGATGTACGACCGTTTCCGGTCACGGAATGACGTAAGGATCGTTTTATGCCGGGCGTGGTTTACGGAGACTTATATCAATACAGGAATTAATCCTCAAATTGCATGCGTTGAAGGTTATAGGCCATCAAGGCACGTAATGAACTGATCGCTCACGAATAGGAAKACAAGCWYGAGTTTTCCACTCAGAACTCGCCTAATTCCTGTGGCTTTGTTTACATGTATTTTACTTCCTTCAAATACAAGGACGTATTTTATGTAGAAAGGAAATGCTTGGACAAGGAAATGCTTGTATACTTGAGTAAATGACAATAACACACGGGTTGCCATTATGTTTGAGAATAATGTARACAGAATTTTGAAAAGATTTAAATAATCATATTCGAAAGATTCCACAAAATATACATAAACAAAAATAAATAAATATATCAAATTTACAAGAAAGCAGTACTATAAATCAAACGAAAAAAATCAATTAAATGAACAACCACAAAATGATAAAATAAAATAATATAAAAAAATATGTTTCCTTTAATGATTTATTGAAAAAATCTTCTTTAAAATGTAAATTTACAAATAATCATTTCTTTTATAAAACACATTTTRTTATAGAATTTAAAAGCATACATATAAACTATGTTTAGGCAGGATTTTCCTGCAGATTCTGAACATCTTTTTCTTAAGATAAGAACTTTTTTCAGTGAAATATTATTGTGAGATTAAACATTATGCCACAACTTTCAAGCTTTCGTGTTGTATTTCAGCTTTTCCAACCCATTATTTCATTGCAAACAACTCGTTATATACGGCAGGTTGTAGCTTTGACTACTTTCATGTGATTGACAGGTCGTCAATTTTATCATCACAAATACAATCTTCAAGTCCTGCATTGAAAAATACATAATATCTAATTATTTAGACTAATTCCAAAAGACAAAGCTCTCTCTACTTATTTGTGTGTTCGACACCCACAGGAAGATCAGCAAAGAGCAAGCTATCCTATATAGACTAATAGGTCATAGTTTTCACTAATAGTCTTTGGCAGCCACAGGGAGCCTAACAAAAAGCAAACTGATGAGTCTTGAATYAGGCTAAGATTAATATTGTCTCCCTTTGTTCTTTAAATTAGAGTGCATACAACAATTGTAAAATGAGCTTGCAAAAGTTTACATGCACTTTGTTTTCTATCAAATATTAATACAAAAATATATTAGTAATCTTAACAAACTGAAAATTATTGAAAAATAATTATACTTGAAAACAATGCAAAATTGATAATTAGATAAATGACCTTAAATGAAATCATAGATTCTAATGTCTGTTTGACCATTTCACTTAAACTGTCAGATTCATTGTTCATAAGTTTGTGTGTCTGAGTCAGTCTAACACTGAACATACTTTATTAATATATTACTTTAGTACTTTAATATCAGTTTCAACATCTTCGTTTTGAACCAGAATATTTTCTTTTAAGGTCTTTTTTAAATTGTCTAAATAAGTCTCTATTGAAGTCATTTTCATCATCCTTTTCCTTATGAAACTTTACTTTGAAGCCATGATGGACTAGGAATGCACTGTCCAGCACTGAGAAACTGTATCCTGCAACRTGTGTCTCGCAAACTTGGCTAATTCTGTTAAATCCATACTGCAAAAACACAAAAAATATGTCATTTAAAAAACTCTATAAGTTTTACCTGTATAGTAAGGACAAAGAAACTTAAAACCTAGTGTGATTTTGAGTCGCTGTTTGCATTGAAACGATATCATCATGATGATATGATAAAATCTTCACTGTAAAATATAGAAARCTTGCTGACATTTTTGAATACTGGTACTTTGTCAAAGGAAAATACAATCATTAGAAATGTTAGCAAACATTCAGTAATGCTGTATTATTAGTGTTATATTATACCTGTYTAAACCTTTCATCATAGACTGGAACATCGCTTGGTCCAATGTAAAATGGCTCCCATGGATCRACCCACTTAACTGTATAAGAAAYTTCTAGTTTTCCTGATTTGCTTTTGTGTCTAAAATCATAAAAGTATTTCCAAGATTCAGAAATGTATTTTTGATTTTGAATTATCATGAACCAAAACGTTATTAAGGTTYTATTATCATCACTACACATCTGGCAATTAGATAAAATTCACATGGAATCTAACCTTTTCCAGTCATCATAGTTTGTAGGACGTTGACATTTCCRGCAAGCTTTGTAATAAAAAGGTTGAACTTTGCCAGCATCCCAAAGACCAATTAGACCTTCCTTGTTCGTTCCAACTGGAACTTCATCCTTACTTTCAAAGGCGGGCACCACATAAACTACTTTATCTGAAATAAAAAAAATAATAATAATAACAATAACAATAATTATAACTTTAATAAAGACTCCGTGAATGTCTTTTTTATGATACAAATTACAATATACATTACAATGTTTGTGATACAAATGTTAAAAAGTGATAAAATTATGATAAAAATAAGGTACAATAAATTCATCAAAGTGAAACAATTTCATGAAATTTTAGTGAACCCACCTTTAGATTTTTTGAATAGTTGGTTTTCCTCTGCAAATGTTAAGAAGTTATTATACAGATCAGAATTGCACATCATGTCAATGTCCACCATGAACAAGAAGTCAGATTTAGTAGCATGTCTTGCAACGTTTCTCAGGAGGTTATTTGGATAAGGAATCTGTACATCAGCATAGTTTGTTTTACCAGTAGATCCACTTGTAATGCCAATCATAAACTGGCCACAGGACCTTGGTAGGGTGCGGCTTGCTTGCTTGACGTGGCTCATCAGGTTATCAACAAATGAGGGATGGGAAAGCGGGTAAACCAAATGAAATGTAACACGCTCTTTGATGTTATTGTTGCATAGGTGGAGTCCTATTATTGCCTTGTAAGTTGTGATTATATCTAGACCAGGAACTAATACACCTGTTAAGGTGAAACAACAAACCAACAGTAGTTTTAATTAGRTTATGTGTTATAAAATCATTCAATAACTAGAACAAAGGCAATCATTAAGATCTATAAATGTTAAGCTTATTTTATATTCCAACTTTATATGGAGCCTGTTTTTTTTTAAAAAAAAAACATTCCTCAAGATGAAATATTATTTTTCTAAAAAATCCCAGTTACAGTATGGAAATCTGGACAAATATTGTATTGTTTTTTTATACAGGTTTGGTAAGGCTATGACTTTCCATTGTGCCTGACTTATAAATTATAATTGGAATTCAAAATGCAATATTGATGTACTGACCCACAGATATGTGGCCTTGCCAGTGCTCGACCATGTTCAATAAATAATGCAGATGATTTGATGTACAGTGGGTTACCATGACAACATCATGTAATCCTCTCATTGGCTGTGTTGTAGCTTTTAGAAAATTATTTTGAATTCTGTATGCTCCATGTTCATCAATGTCCAACTGACTAAATTGCATCAGAGTGTCGGAAAACAATTTCTGTGGAAACAAAGTCAAGGAAAATTGCATATGACCTGTTCATATTTCTAATAAATTGACATAAATACAACTACAGCTGAGTTTCATGAAAGAGATTTTGGTGAGATGCRTACCTCAAATATGGTGCTGTTCGAAGCGTTTTTCTTGTCCACATTAGAAACCAAAATGAAATTCAAAATCGCCAGCGATAGACCTATTGAACCCAATAACAGTATTGCTTTACCAATAGTAAAATTCATATTGAGTKTTTCACGAAATAGAAATAAAATTCTTGTCGGATTTTCCACATTTCTCTTTCACAGAAAATATGCAGCATTTGTGTTTACAATCCGCCATATTGGTTTGCTACCCATGGTACATTGCGGTACTAAAAGCACAGGAGTCCCACTTAGAATTTAGCATCATTGGTGAGTTTGTCTATTTTTGACATTTCTCAGCCACATCTTGAAATGTAGCCTTACTATTGTTGATGTGGGGTGGCTGTTGGGCCTGATTTGACCAGATGTTGTCTGCCTCACACTGATTGAATAAGGGGGTCCTGTATTGTGCAGGTTTCGATGGGTTAGATAGGAGGTGGAAAAGAATGGACCAACTGACAAAGAAAAGCCACTTTTTTTAAAGTTCCTTTTAATTAAACAATAATTATATTTCAAAAGGTCTTTCATATATATTAACAATAAGACATACTTAAGTTTATTAGAAAAGCACTTGATATTAATATAAGTAAGAAAAAATCCACCATAAAATATATTCAAAGTACATTTACAACAACAGCGGGCACATGAATGCAGAATCAAAATTACCACAATGTACAGTGCATCCTATATCTTGATATTTTACAGAGGAACTAAACATCAAACTCTGTAGTAATTTTCTATGGAGATGTAGACCACTTATATATTTATCTATTTTTGTCTCTAACGCTTTGACTGACAAGCACATATAAAAGAGAATGATAAASTCAAACATGAATTTATATCTTTCATTCATGGGCTTAGACTTTTTTCACTCTAAACATTCCAACAGTCATCAATATGTTAGCTAAAATTATGATAATTGATTAGAACTCTGCTAGTAATCTGGCATGGCTAAAATGTTTTTGTTCTCGTTGGCAAATARCTTTCTGTTTTTCGTGATAGAAAACTAAAMAATGCAAGGATCCCATGTCGACGACTTGATTTCTGTCCAGGATAGTCAAAGGTTGAATCTGTTGGGATAAAGGATTTTTTAARTGTTACATTATATTTTTGTCTTTTTTTGCTTGTAGAAGTTTATAATAGTCTTCTTTACGATTCTTCATACCATTTCGAAAGTTAATTGTGCATTTGCACTGAAGGCAAACAACTGGTGAGCTTGCTCAGATACCTATTTTCAAACTAAAGATAAAAGTTCTTCACATACATCTATCGTTACAAGCTCACTGCAGTCATCTAACTTTGATGCAAAGACACAGTTACCTTTCATGATGGAAAAGTTAATGACAAAGGATTCTGTTAATTCTAGCACTAAAAAAAATAACTTTTCAATAGTATCTGTTCTACAGAAATAGAAAATATTGTAAAAATGTAATCTTTTCAATAACACTTACCTTGGTTGCCTTCCCCTGGTGTGGTTGCAGTTGGTAAGACATTTTCACTTGCAGACAGCGACACAAAGAATGCAAATGGTATGATCCATAGACAAACAGTGAAATAAGCCAAAACCTGACAATTAAAACGTTGCATTATAATCCTGATTTTACATATTAAGTCATGAGTAATTTTTATTGTGCTGTATTTTTTACCTCAGAAAATGGATACCAAACGCTTGCAAAGTGTTGGAATGCCAAGTAGTGATTAACAAATACAGATACTGAAAGGTAAAGTTTAATTAATTAATTAATTGATGTAAATCTTACTGATATTGAGTATTAAAGAGACAAACATGAAGCAAATTAAGACTTTTCGTGCATTACAACTCAAACACATGCCCACTAACTGCATGCTACTGTCTATTGAATGCCTTAGCATTTATATATGGAAGAGTAAAAGYAATTTGGAAATAGATATGAAAAAGTAGACCATACGCTACTGCAGTTGTTGCTTTTATTTTTTTCAAGCTTTTGCTTTCGCTCCAGTGGCTCAGAAAGCAGCTATATATACATAAATTATTTGTAAATATTCATTCTCCTGATGATGCCGGTGTCCAGCGAAAGCTCGAGAAAAATAAAAGCAACAAGCGCAGTAGCGTATGGTCTACTTTTCATTTCTTTCTCATAACACATGCTGTGGACAGAAGTATTCTGTTTTCAATTGAAAATCTATACATGTCGACAAGGTCGGATCATTATTATGACCACCATATTGTCAGACTTACCAATTGAAGCAATAAAGACAGGTGAAGTTAGCTCAATGAATGGAAAATCTTTGAGCATCAATGAGTAAATCCCATTAGAAAGAAGACCAATTGTTATCATCAGCCATGGAAATCCCTCAAACACCAGAAGACATACATATACCACTGTAACTATCTGYAAATATGTAAAGCAATTTGTACAAATTACACAAATGTCTAATTATTTTGYCWGAGAAAGGCAAATGCTGTAGAGAATGAGATCCTCTTAGAAGTTTGTCTGCACCTGCTGAGCTGACAAAYTCATTAAAAGTAAATAGATATTTGGCATCTTGGATCATTAGATTGCACAAATTTTGCCCAAGKTWCTTATAGCTGTTTTGTAAAMGTCTGTGCAATCATGTTGTACARAGATAGTTTGGTTGAGCTAATACTATCATCCTGTATTGACATAAAGGCTGGACAAACTACATTTATAGCAAAACTGTAACCTTCTGTGCAGATTTTACAATAGCCTTGACACACTGTATAATTAGGGAAAACTGTTGGGAAGTGTTTAAGTTATATTGATTTGCTAGGAATACAGCTACACTGGAAAGCTTGTACTTAAGCTTACTTTTTTGCTTGTCAAACTACAAATATACGCCAATTTGCCTTTGTTTACTTACTATAAGAACAAACTTGATAATCTTCGAAGCTAATACAGTGTATTCCTCCACTAGCTCAGCCAGGTAATATAGTGCAGATGCTACGAATAACAGCAAAGAAAAAAATATMAAGCTTATAACATTAGTTCAGCATGGACGCCGATGCAGAAAACATTTATAGACCTTATGCAAGATTGAGTCAAATTCATAAACTCACCTAACGCTAAAGTAAGGAAAATTATATGAAATATTGTAGAAATCCAACTTAGAATATAAAGAAACATGATTATAGTAAAAAATACGATGTTTTTGGCGTAGAAACAGTGACAGCTCCTCTCGTTTGCAGTTTACGTGGTGCAAAATGACGTCATGYACAGCTGCCAAGTAACCACGCCTGTCTAGGAGATTTGCAAAGCATCATGGTCGAAGGAGCACAATTTTCCTAAAAGTTTAGGTCAAAAAAGGTATGATCCTGTAACAATTCATCGGAGTCTCGACGGAGCTATTCAATTGGAAACTAATTGAGGACGAATTTAAACTTTATTTTTTTTTGTTGATGATAGATAGGAATACAAGAGCATTTAAATCGTATATGAATGAATTTTTTGCCCTAAGAAACAAAATTATTATTTTTGTACTATTCTCTAATTATCTATAATTACCACTTCTGAAAATAAAAAAACAAATACCTTCTGTAAACAAAAACGTTAAGTCCTTTCAAAYAAATGCGTTAGTGGGTTTGAACCTTATYCCCAGATCCATTTCGGCCAACTCCAATTCAAGATGGCGGCCGACCGACGACCGCCAGCTTGGAAAGGACAATGAAAACACATTGTGTCTATCTAAAACCATAAAACTTTTTAAACCTAGAAGGACCTTGGACTATGGTAAATTTGGCATAAAATACGCAGCTGCTCAGCCTTGGAACGATATTCCAATCGAAAATAAAATAGTTTATTATGAATTCATAGAAAAAAATACAAGCACTTTTTAATGAGCAGAGACCAATAACTGTTCTCTTTATTTCGAGCCAACCATAATATAAAGAGACCTGAAAAAGTCTAGAGCTATAAATATGTGATACAAACGAATTTCAATGCGTTATGTATTATATGTCATTGTGCCTGACCGATTTTGGTCCAAAAAACAAGAGATGCTTTGAAAACTARAAAAAAATGGAACTGAAACTACAAAGCCGTGGTAACAGACCACATGCAACACCAGCTCTTTGGATGAAGAAATCGACGTTTTGTATGCGAAAAAATTACTTGAAACATTTAGCTTTGAACATAGTTAACTATGCTTTGAATGTCTTCAAAACAGAAGCAAAGTTATTGTCAAGAGAATGCAAATGGTATAAAGTTCAGCCAATGTGAAAAAACAAGTTAAACAGTGTTATGAAAGAAACTATCAGTAGTTCTAAAACTCATGGATTATTCATTAGACATTCTTCTGACAGGATCTATAACTCAAGTTATAAACACATGCATAAAACATCAGTGTTGTAACTGATTTACAGACACGATGTGTGCCCAACACTAGAAAAGTTCTCAGTTTTAGACTCTCATCATAGAACTTCACTAGGTCTCGAGTTAAAATTACTTATTTGCAGAGTCACAGTACACTAAAACATAGTGGCGCTTGGATGTGGGAAACCAAGTTGATTACTGCTCATGCTCAGATGGAGATATCTCATCAATTATTCATTTTTGATATTTTTTTATTTATTTCATGTTTATTGTAGTTTCTTAGGTTTGGGTTTTAGAAGTCATTTAAAAAACTCGTAGTTCGTGTTTTATCGTGGATATAAACACTCGGCCTTCGGCCTGGTGTTTATATCTCACGATAAAACACTCCTACTCGTTTTTTAAATATCACATACAGATTTTTGTTATCAATTAACGTAGATTGTCACGTCACTTGGTGGGAACTAGCGGTAAACTAGTATGAGCTGCGTCGGTGTTTCTAAAGAAACAGTCGTGCAAAAAGATCATTTAACACCATAAAAAAGTAGGTGAAAACTTACTGRCGTTGAGGTTGTATACGAGCTTGTTTAACGTTCGGGTTGTTTTCACACATCCCCCACATCTTATTTTCTAGTTAATTTCTTCTTTTCCTCATTGAAGTGTGGAARTAATTGTTGTATTGTTCATGTATCTCCATTATGGGATGGACATTACGCGGGAATTAGTTTCGATTTAGTTGCGCATGTGCAATGGACATGACAGGTTTTCTTAGAATTTTAGGTAATTCTCAGAGACGTCAGGAATGAGTGCATTTTGGAATTCTCTAGGACACTAGAGGATTATGTGCAATTTAGTTCCCTTCCTTTTGAAAATGAGAGAATCAGCAAAAAACATAGAAGGATGGMACAATATGGCCGGATATACGATCAAAGAAGTCTTTATGTATTGTTAATGTCAATTTATGGTTGATGTTTTTTGGTATGAACATCAGTTTTATTTTCTTCCGCTGTTCTTCTGAAAGCTCTCTACGAATGAGTCGTTGAAAAATAAATCCAGAATTTATGTAAAATATAAGTCTAATCTATAACACTCATTGTTCTCTAGTTCATCTCTTTCTATTATGGAGTACAAATATTTCTTATAACTCGCGATTACCGCTCGAAAAATATTTTAATTCGATAAACGAAAAAGGAAATTGCTTTATAAGAAAAATAGGATAGCTGTTATTTGGCAACGAAGACGTTCGATGTGTCGTACCTAAGGATGTGGAGTAATTTCCGATTTCCCACTCAAAATAAAGCCCACATAAGTGTAAATAATTTTCCCATGTTCGAAATGAAGTGTTTAGGGTCTAGTTTGAAGTTAAAATACTGAAAATAATAAAATAAAATTAGTAATTAAAAGACGTAATGGCTRCCGCTACTTAAGTCAGTAGAATAATATCCGCAAAATAGATGCAAACATCGCACGTACTCCCTTTTTTTTATTCGAAAGCTTATAAATAATTGTTAAAAAGGCCAATCATTTGGAAGGCAGCACGGAGGCGTCGCCTTTGTGATGTTCATGAGTATCCGAACCGCCTGCACGACTTCCTGCAGTAGGAACTTCTCTCCCTCCTTTTTT